TGTACTTCCCACCTCTCCTAACAAAGTAGTGACATGTTCACAAGTATCTAGATTCCCTTAGATGTGTCCTATAAGGACCCTGAGGTCACCCTCTTCCCCCTCCTCCCCCAGCCCCATCCTATCCAAAGCAGTGTTCTTCCCACTCCAGGGATCCTCTGGGGCAGGGCTGGCAACAAGAAGAAGGTGGCTGCCCTCTTTGCCTCTTGGCAGCTACTTGGTTGGTCACATTTGGTTCCTCTGTGTTCCCCATCTCTACACCTGCTTGCCTTTCCTCTGCCTTTTCTTCAAGATGTTAAAAACTCGCAATAAAAAACAAATACAAAATGCTGTAATTAATAGCCAATTCCAAGCCAACCCAGCATCTCTACTAATAAACCTCAACACTTGCAAAAAGAACAATAAATTCTGCCCCTCTCTGGTTCTGAGTTGGTCTCTTTTATATAGTCTCTCTGTGTGTATGTATGTGGGTAAGTGTGTCTACATATATATTTATTTTCCTTTATTTCCCATCCAGGGAGGGGCAGAATAATGAACTGCGTGCGTCAGGGAAGATGAATCTGAGATACTAGGGAGCAGTGCAGTAAAAAGATTAAAGTGTTATTATTGTTGGGTTTTTTTCCCCCATGGTCCATTGTGACAGCTCGACCGTCATCTGTAAAAAATGTCTCAGCGAGAGATAATCATCGGAAACTCAATAAAGCGTCAGGGGGAGCCTCAGCCCCTATCAATCACTAGGTGCCTGGAAAATTTCAGCCCTCTGTCTCCCTTCCTGCTATCCATATAAATGTCTCTAATATATTTTGTGTGGTGTGTGGGACCCATCCCTGATTTGGAACTTTTGATGAAAAAATATTTATACACAAAATATGTAAATCAGTTAAAAATCATAAGACTAGTTCTTTGCCACCCAATCCTATTTTTTCTTATTTTTATAAATGCATCGAATTTATTCTGTTTAATAAAACATGTCAACTAGTCTATCATACTCTCCTAGGACACAGACACACACACATGTACACACACACAGGGATTGAGAGTGAGTGAGTTTGGAGGGCTAAAAGGATGGAAACAATTAACCTAACTGGCTGATTTATTTAATCATGCAGTTGGCCAAAATGTATCCTGGTAACTCTATGGTGGCCAGAACCAGAACTATGGAGAAATGACAGGTAGAAACATTGGCCATGGAGCGTGACAAGTCTCTGAGTGAGCCTGGACAAGGATGAGGAGGGCTGTGACATTATTAAAAATAACAACTTGCCCACACAGCTTTTGGCCTGGCAGGTTCCCAAGCCTTCGGACAAGCCAGAGATCTGAGCTAAGTGTGGGGCATGTGTAGGCTGATATGGTTGCTGGGGCTTAGAAAAGAGCAGCATTTGACATCCTCACTCTGCCTCAGTTTCCTTTAGTACCTGCATCATAGGGTTGCTGTAAATACATAGTAAGTATCAATCAATGTTATATGTTACCCTGCAGCTATCATCATCGCTGTCATCTCATTATCACCTCCTTCTGCTTCTCAACCCTGGAAGGAATCAGTTCCTGCAGTGCCCTCTCCTTTAGGACCTTCAAGCCTCTTCTCTGTCTAAAGGATAAAGTCCAGGTGTCTTGATCTGGCCCTAGTCTACTAATACTGCATCTTTATTGCACATCACTGTCTAAAATGAATCTTCTGCTGCGTGCATGCTTCACCCTAACACATGTTCATCTCCCAGGGTGAAATGTAATTTTTCTGTTTCCCACATCTGAGTGTTTTGTTTTTTTGAGACAAGGTCTTACTCTGTCACCCAGGCTGTAGCGCAGTGGTGTGATCATGGCTTACTGCAGCCTTGGCCTCCTGGGCTCAGGCAATCCTCCTGTCTCAGGACCACAGGCACAGCCTACTATACCTGGCTAATTAAAAAAAAATTAGGCCGGGCATGGTGGCTCATACCTATAATCCCAGTACTTTGGGAGGCCAAGGCAGGCAGATCACAGGTCAGGAGTTTGAGATCAGCCTGACCAATATGGGGAAACTGTGCCACCACTGAAAATACAAAAATTAGCTGGGTGTGGTGGTGGGCGCCTGTAGTCCCAGCTACTCAGGAGGCTGAGGCAGGAGAATCGCTTGAACCTGGGAGGCAGAGGTTGCAGTGAGCTGAGATTGCACCACTGCACTCCAGCCTTGGCGACAGAGTGAGACTCCATCTCAAAAAAAAAAGAAAAGAAAAAGAAAAAGAAAAAAATGTTGGCAGGGTGTGGTGGCTCACAACTAATCCTAGCACTTTGGGAGGCTGAGGGAGGTGGATTGCCTGAGCTCAGGAGTTCAAGACCAGCCTGGGCAACACAGTTAAACCCTGTCTCTACTAAAATACAAAAAATGTGCCAGGCATGGTGGCATGTGCCTGTAATCCCAACTACTCAGAAAGGTGAGGCATGGGAATTGCTTGAGCCCAGGAGGCAGAGGTTGCAGTGAGGTGAGATTGTGCCACTGTATTCTAGCCTGGGCGACAGAGCAAGACTGTGTCTTGAAAAAAAAATAAAATAAATTTTTGTAGAGACGGGGTCTCACAATGTTGCCTAGGTTGGTCTTGAACTCCTGGGCTCAAGCAATCCTCCTGCTTCAGCCTCCCAAAGTCTTGGGATTATAGGCATGAGCCACTACGCTTGACCACTCTGTATGTTTTGAATATAGTATACCCCTTCTCTACTCACACTCAATTGCACCCACCTGTCAGCCCTCCATACAGCTGTCCAAAATCTTTCTATATTTTGAGGCTTAAATGTCATTTATTTCCCTGACCTCTTCAGCCAGAGATTCTCTTCTCTTTGCTCTGAGAGTCCTTGTTATCTGTACCTCTTACTGGACCCTTTGTCAACTATTGTCTTGGTAATGTCTTCAGTCTTTATTAGTACTAATTACTGTTCTTGCAAGCATCTTACATTTGCACAATGCCTTGCATTTTCTCAAGTGCTTTCATAAGTACTCCAATTTGGGCTTTATAATAAGCCTATGGTGCAGGAAATACTATTCTCTACACATGAGAAAATCAAGCTCAGAGAGAGTAAAAGAATTGCCAAAGTCACACAGTTAGGTAATGGCTAAGCCATTCCTTTGACTCTAAATAATATTTGGCTCTTTGAGGATAACAGTTTGCTACCAGAGAAAAACATTTGGAAGGCTGTGTCAAAGACTGACTGACGTTCCGTAAGAGTTTAATGAGGAGGAGGATGTAGAAACAGAGGTTTACGTTCACAGAACTTCTTCTATGTTCTAGATTTTAGATTAGGGATAATATACCATCTCTAACTCTCCCAATAACCTTTATTTTACAAATAAGGAGACAGAGCCTCTGAGAGGTATAGAAAATTGCTCCAGGTGTCAGAGCCATTAATGCTCTGTACATGTAAAATACCATGGGGCTTAAACACACAGCCTCTCTAGGGGAGTGAAGCTTAAAGTGGCAAAATAAGATCTCTTGTAGGGAGGTGAAGGCCTAGATGAGTTTTCTAAGCAGTTCAAGCACAAGACCACAACTAATACCTGTAGAATCACGCTCCAAAAGGGGTAGGAGCCTATTAGAAATGCAAAACCTCGGCTCCCACCCCAGACCTAATCAATCAGAATTTCTGAAGGTAGAGTCTAGGAACCAGTGTTTTAACAAGCTTTCTAGGAGATTCTTATTTCCTTAACCTTATTATTCTCATCTGAGTTTGTGCTCTCCAAGGGCATACATTCTCCCCTCTGCTATGCTTGAGTTAGGCTGGGTACACAGTGGGTGCTGGGTAGTTAACTTAAACTGAGTAGAAGAGATAGTCAGATGAGACCATCCTTGGCATATCCTGGGGAGGGGGAGAAATATTATACAGAGCAGTTCCATTACCGCCAGCAGGGAGTCCTAGCCACTTCCTGAACTCCAAGGCACTTGTCCACTGGTTTGTGATGCGCCAGCTTGCACCGTCCTGTCCCCCATCTGAAGACACAGAGATGGGGAGGTCAGCTGGAGCAGGCCAGGCCCTGCAGGCCCTGGAGCTGTGGGAAGGGGGCACTCAGGCTGGTGGGGTTGGTCCAAGTCCCTCTACCCTCAGAAGGGCCCTATGCCAACCCAGCTTCTGTGAGACTCCTCTTTATTCAGCTGCCACTTGGAGCTGAGAAGAGAAGCTGATTTATGACCTGCTCTGGCTGCGATTCTGCCATGTTTTATTGTTTTAATTGTACATATAAGAGGCATTCAAAATGCTTGCTTGCATTTCTGACAGCCCCAGACACCCAATGTTTATAACAGTTACTTATAAGCAGCCAGCGGCATCCCCGGCTGGGCGACTTGTTTACTGTTACCACTAATTTATTACCTCCTTCATCTGAGGATTAGGGCCCACCACCCATTAGCCAGCCACAAGTGGAACACTCCTGGAGTAGGCATGGGTAGGGCTCAAGGCACTGAATGGAATGTGGTTGATATCAGGGAATGAGTTGGCAGAGGAACAGCTATGATCCTCATACTTCTCTCTACATGTATTCCATCTCACAGACATTCTCAGCTGTGCCCTCTGCTTTTTTTCATTTTTTCCCATCTTCTTCATCCTCCAAAGCCCAACTCCAAATCCCACTTGTTTTAAGAACATTATAGGCAGGCGCAGTGGCTCACGCCTGTAATCCAGCACTTTGGGAGGCTGAGGCAGGTGGATCACCTGAGGACTGGAGTTCAAGACCAGCCTGCCTAACATGGTTAAACAACATCTCTACTGAAAATACAAAAAATTAGCCAGGCGTGGTGGCAGGTGCCTATAATCCCAGCTACTCGGGAGGCTGAGGCAGGAGAATCGCTTGAACCCAGGGGATGGAGGTTGCAATGAGCCGAGATCGTGCCATTGCACTCCAGCCTGGGCAACAAGAGCGAAACTCTGTCTCAAAAAAAGAACATTACTCAGTCTGATAGTGAGCCTAGAGCTTCTAGAACGTTAGAAATCATATGGCTGACAGGAACACTGGAGGCCAGATAATCCAATGACTTAGGGCAAGAATCCGCTTTACAACATTCACGAGGGGCAGACATCTCAACTGTTCAGTACCCTTGAGGGATGAGTTGCTCACTACCTCCCAGGCAGGCTTCCTGCCTTACACTTTGCCAAAACCCATTTCCATAGAGAAATTTTTCATTAAATGTCACTGTGCTTTACATATATATGATTACCTAACAACCCTATAAGATGGGAATTGTTACCACTATGTTACAGCCGAGAAAACTGAAATTCAGAGACTTTAAGTCATTTACTCAAGATCACACATCTAGTAAGTAATAAAGCTTAGATGAATCATTCAGATATCTGGTACTAACGCCCAATCTTTCTCTAGGACATCAATGTGCCTCTGAAGATGCCACTCTGAGAGGTGGAGAGAAAGGAAACAACAATCAGGCCAACAACACTTCCATACCAAGCATCCTTGGGCCACCTGCACCAGTAAGACTGCCCTCTACCCAGAAACACCAACCTTGACAAAATAGACCCAGCTGAGTAGGCTTCTTGCTAAGGAGCAATGCTCACATGTAAAACAATAAAGAGTGTCACTAGGAATGGCATAACCAATGACAAAGTCTTAGCAAAGATGGCAAAGAAGTTTCTTTCCTCCCTAGACTGTGTCTGTTCTCAGCAGGTAAAACAGATACAAAGCATCTTTGATGTCTTTTAGTTTTCTTGCCTCAATCCTCTTTCCTGCTCGCACCTTAAATGCTGGTATCCCGAGTAAAGGACTTATCCTCCTACCTCCCCCTCACTTTAAATCCTTTCTTTCTTTGGGCAATTTCAGTCACATCCATTGTTTTAACTCTCAAGAAAATGGCCAATACTCCTAATTCCCTATCTCCTGCCAAACTACTCCTTTGAGATCTCCAGACCCACATATCTAATTATTCACTCAAAGCAGAAACTGAGGTGTCACCGTACATACCTGCTTTTCCATCAATTCTCACAATCCACTGAGTACTCAATCTTTGAATATTCTGCTATCATCTATTTACTCCATTCCCAAAGATCACCTTTAGGAATCTCCAGATATTTTAAATGTATTTTGGGAGGACAGGAACATAGCTTCTTATCAGATTCCCAAAGAGTCCATTATCCCTAAAAAGTAAAGAATCATTGCTAATCTTTCCCCTCCAATTCTTCCTCCACCCTGTCAGATGGTCCACTTAAAATGCAAGTGAATTCAACATTGCCCCACTTAAAATCCTTTAATGGCCTTCAGAATAGAGAATGAGCTCCCTAGAACTGCCTTACAAGGTCCTTCCCACATGTAACCTCCTTCACCCTCTGGCCTTACTTCTTGTTCTCCTCAATCTCGCAGCAGATGATTCCACCCGCTGTCACTCCCCAATCCCCCACCTGATGCCTCTGCATACACTGTTCCCTCTGCCTGGAAGATCCATCCCTCTTAGCCTCCTTGGCAATCTCCAACTCATCCTTAAGACCCAATTCAAGGTCACTTACCCTGTGACATTTCCCAGGCACCAGCCTGCTCTCTTCTCAGGTGGAGCTCACCACTACTTAGAGCAGTGCTGCCTACAAACTTTGTGCAGCTACCATTGCATTTATCACTCTGCATTGTGATTCCTTGTTTACAGGCTCGTCTCTGTAAATGACTGGGAGCACTGTTAAGGGGCTAGACCATGTATAATCATTTATATAATTCCAGCAATTGGCAGAGTGCCTGACACTCAGTAAGAACATGCTGAATTACACATAAATGAAACTAATAAGCAATTACAACTGTAGAGCACTTTATGATCCACATATCACATATTTTATCTCTTAATATTGAGAACAATACTTATACGGAAGACAAGGAATGTATCATTGGAGGTTAGACAGGTCTTGCCAAAGCCACAAACTACAACTCACCACCTTTCTTCAGTACTAACTGAATCAGGGCAAGGGCCACAGAAATATCTATTAGAAATTTAGTGAACTTCATGGGCTTTGGCACTGACTCCATAGTCTAATATAACAGTGAAGGACTGTCTAACTTTCCTGAGTTGTGACCATCCTGTGAATTTGCCTAGACACACTAGAAGGACAGGGAATTACAGCTCTTGTTCTACTCTACCTTCCTTACCCATCCCAAGTCAGGAAATTTTCCATGAAAAAGTCAATCCAATCCAAAAATAAGAGAACTACAGGATTCTTTTGTTTCTATTTTGTCAATGAGAATGAGTCAGAGCTGGGTATGGTACCCTGCATACAATTAACTGGCAGTCAGTATAAATTAGTTGGATGGCTGAAAAAAGAGGTTTCCTTCAATGGAAAAAGGAAAGAAAGACATGGTTAAGACTATGCTGAAGGCTTAGACTGCTGAGATGGAAGAGCCCTGAGATGATTCTAACGGACTATCACTATCCAGGTCAAAGTCAGAACGTTCAGTGCACCAAGCTGGACAGCAGAGCACATCCAAACTGATACACCCAGGAAAATAAGGCCAGCTGCCAGAAAACTGTGGCAGACAAAGGCAGTCTAGACTTTTTTAAAAAAGGTGGAGAGTTAGATCTTGCAAGCGACAGAGAGTTTATTAAGGATTCCCAACAAACTTCTAGGATGTTATTTTTGGTAACATCGGTTTGTTTTGTTTTGTTTGAGACAAGATCTTGCTCTGTCACCCAGGCTGGAGTGCAGTGGCATGATCCTGGCTCAATGCAACCTCTGTCTCCTGGGTTCAAGCGATTCTCGTGCCTCGGCCTCCTGAGTAGCTGGGACTATAGGCATGCGCCATCATGCCCAGATAATTTTTGTATTTTTAGTAGAAATGGGATTTTGCCATGTTGGCCAAGCTGGTCTTGAACTCCTGGCCTCATGTGATCTGCCTGTCTCAACCTCCCAAAGTACTGGGATTACAAGTGTGAGTCACGGCACCTGGCCTTTTTTAACAGTTCTTAAACACTTGGCTAATTACTGGGTACTAGCGTGGGTTCCCCAAGAACAATAAATCAACATGCTGGAATAACCCTATTTCCATTTTTAGAAAGGGTTATTAGACAAGAAAATAAGACAAAGGTTAGAAACATTTTAATTTTAGCAAGATATCTAGGAAAAAATCTCAAAATTTTGTGAACAAAGCAGAAAAATGGAGGATGGAAAAGAACGAAGTTTGGTAGAATTACAGCTAAGAATGCTGAATAATGCATCAAAATTATCCTGACCATGTGCTCTAGGCCTCTGTATTTAATAGAGGCCTTATAAACATTTTAATCCAAGTAAGAACATGATGGCAGGGGATCTTGTCATTGTGTTTAACTCATAAGTGCTTAAAACACTACCTGGTACATAGGAATGTGATCAATAAATATTTTGAATAAATAAATGAATCCGGAACGATCCAAGATGGCCGATCGCTAACATCCCGGGATTGCAGCTCTCAGGGAAGGCGCGGAGAACTAGAGGACGCCACACTTTCAGACAAAGTCTGGTCGCTCACGGAGCAGAAGATCCCCCAGTGGTGGAAACACAGGAGTCGCCAGCGCGACTCTCGTGGTTGGCGCAGCGGTTCCGCCGGCTCGCTCAGCGCAGAGTAAACGGGACAGGTTCCCCTTCTGACCGAGGTTTGGAGCCCCGGGAAGGCAGAGTCGCCTACTACGGAAACAAGAAGGAAGCCCGACAGGAGAATCCTGGGAAGAAAAGCACCATCAGTTTTAAGGCTGCTGCTCTGGCCCTGGGAACTAACAACCTGAACGTCCACTCAAGAGACCTAATCTGAAAGTTGGTAATTTCAAAGACGACAGGAGGATAAATTTACAATGACGGGAAGAAACCAGCGTAAGAAAGCTGAGAATACTCAAAGTCAGAACGCCTCTCCCTCTAAAGATGATCACAGTTCCACATCGACAGTGGAACAAGGCTTGATGGAGAACGAGCGCCTCCTGATGACAGAATCACTCTTCAAGGAATGGATAATAACAAACTTCGGTGAGTTAAAAGAACATGTTGTAGCCCAACGTAAAGAAACTAGGAACTTTGAAAAAAGGTTTGATGAAATCCTATTGCGAATAGACAACTTAGAGAGGAGTATGAGTGAATTAATGGAACTGAAGAATACAATACAGGAACTCCGAGAAGTATACACAGGTTTAAACACTCGAATTGTTCAAGCAGAAGAAGGGATATCAGAGGTCAAAGTCCAACTGAATGAAATAAAACGTGAAGAAAAGATTAGAGAAAAAAGGATAAAAAGGAATGAGCAAAGTCTCCAAGAAATGCGGGACTATGTGAAAAGACCAAATTTACGTTTGATAGGTGTACCTGAATGCGACGGAGAGAATGAATCCAAGCTGGAAAATACCCTTCAGGATATTATTCAGGAAAATTTTCCTAAACTAGCAAAGCAGGTCAACATTCAACCCCAGGTAATACAGAGAACACCACAAAGATATTCCTCAAGAAGAGCAACCCCAAGGCACATAATCGTTAGATTCACCAGGGTTGAAACGAAGGAGAGGATACTAAGGGCAACCAGAGAGAAAGGTCAGATTACCCACAAAGGCAAGCCTATCAGACTTACAGCAGATCTCTCCGCAGAAACTCTACAGGCCAGAAGAGAGTGGGGGCCAATATTCAACATCCTCAAAGAACAGAACCTTCAGCCCAGAATTTCATATCCAGCCAAACTAAGCTTCACAACTGAAGGAAAAATAAAATCTTTTATGAACAAGCAAGAACTCAGAGATTTTATTACCACCAGGCCTGCTTTACAAGAGCTTCTGAAAGAGGCATTACACAGAAAGAGACAACCAGTATTAGCCTTTCTAAAAATACACCAAAAAGTAAAGAGCACCAACATAAAGAAGAATTTACACCAACAAATGGATAAAACAGCCAGTCAACATCAAATGGCAGTAACCCTAAATTTAAATTGACTGAATTTCCAATCAAAAGACACAGCCAAAACCCAACGGCATGTTACATCCAGACCTGTTTCACATGCAAGGATACACAAAGACTCAAAACAAAGGGATGGAGAAAGATTTACCAACCAAATAGAGAGCAAAAATAGATAATAAATAAATAAAAAACAGGAGTTGCAATTCTTGTATCGGATAAAATAGATTTTAAAGCAACAAAGATATAGTGGTAAAAGGATCAATGCAACAAGAGCTAACGATCCTAACACCCAGATAGGAGACATAGATTCAATGAGACAGAAAATTAATAAGGATATCAAGGACTCGAACTCAGATCCAGAACAAGTAAACTTAATAAATATTTATAGAGCTCTCCACTTCAAATACACAAAATATACATTCTTGTCAATACCACATCACACCTACCCATTAGTTTAAATGAAACATTGATTGGCCATTATTAATACCCAATTTTTTTCAAAATAAAGCAATATTTCCATTTACTCTCCCTCTTTCTCTTCCTCTTTCTTCCTCTCCTTTACTTATTTTTTTTTTCTTTCCCTCTCTCAAAAAAAAAGAAATCAACTTGTAAACCTCTAGATCCAGGTTGGCAATGTCTCTTTCATTGCTTGATTTCCTTTCTTCCCTTCCCTGCCTCCCTCCCTCCTTCCTCCCTCCCTCCCCGCTTCCTCCCTTCCTTCCTTCCTTCATCCCTTCCTTCCTCCCTAATAAAAAAAAAAAATAAATAAATAAATAAATGAATCCATAGAAAGCCCACTATTAAATCTGCAGATCACACGAAATAAGAAGACAGAGTTCCTATTTTAATTTTTATTTCATAAGGGGACATGATAGCCTTTTCAAATATTTTTGTTTCCTGTCTCTCCCTATCTACCTACCTACCCAGAATATTGGCTGCCTGGCATAAGAGTTAAATATAATCCAGAGGTTGACCAGGAAGAAAGAAGGGAAACAAAAAGGAAAGAAAGAGAAAAAGAGAAAGGATGGAAGGGAAGGGAAAAGAAAAGAAAGGAAAAAAAGAAAAGGAGGACAGAAAAAAGGAAAGGAAGGAAAGGAAAGGAAGGAAGGATGGGAGGGAAAAAAGAAAAGAAAAGAAAGGAAGAAAGGAAAGGAAAGGGAGGACAGAAGGAAGGAAGGAAGGATGGACGGACTAAGAAAAAGAAGTTAACTAGGAATGCAAAAAATTTATGTAGAGCAGGGTTGGCAAACTACATCCTCTGGGCCAAATCCAGCCTAGTATGTGTTTTTATAAAGAACATTTTATTGAAACATATCCACGTCGATTTGTTTGTGTACTGTTTATGGCTGCTTCTGTATCACAATGGTCAAGGTAAGTAGTCACAACTGAGACCAACTGGTCCACATAACTTAAATGTTTACTACTGGGCTTTTTCTAGAAAGTTTGCAGACTGCTGATCTAGAAAGTTTAATAAGAGTATTAACCTGAAGGTTACCATTAAAACACAAAGCTACAAAACTTGAATGTACGTGGTGGACACCAGTGTGACAGGAGAAGTTGGACTAGAAGGCTTCATAGCTCTAAGATTCTATGAAATAAAAAAAAAAATGTTTACTAAGCCCTGCTAGAATCCTGACAGCAGATGAGAAGGCACACAAAAGAATCTCCTACTACCTGGCCCTGCCTGCTAAACAAATGTTCCACTTTGCTTTTTGGTGAGAGCACCTGTATTAGTTTGTTTTCATGCTGCTGATAAAAACATACCCGAAAATGAGACCAAAAGGAGGTTTAATTGGACTTACAGTTCCACATGACTAGGGAGGCCTCAGAATCATGGTGAGAGGTGGAAGGCACTTCTTACATGGTGGTGGCAAGAGAAAAATGAGGAAGAAGCAAAAGGGAAACCCCTGATAAACCTATCAAATCCTGTGAGACTTATTCACTATCACAAGAATAGCACAGGAAAGACTAGCCTCCAAGGTCCACTATTTGTCCTGGATTATATAGTAAGTTGAGGGGATAGTCCCAGAGACAGGACTGCATTTTACATGAAGGAAAAAGCAGTATTCAGAGTAGTAGTATTTAGGGACTTCTGAGGCTAAGGAATTCATGAAGGCTATGTCTAGTTCTGGAGCAGGGATGGGGCAAGGTAAGTCTGCAGGAAACAGAAGAGGAACAAATCCACACTCCATGCAGTCGCCTTAATTATTTTACTGAAACCTGCTCTGTTGTCCATTCATTTGTGGCTCCATAGGCTGAAGTACTTTCAGGAAAACACTAGTTGAAATGTACTTCCTACCCCCAATTAGGTCATAAAATCAGGCCTCTATTTCTTTCCCCAAGACTTCTGAAATGACATAAAGTTAGAGCCAGAAGACTATGAAGGGCAGCTGTTTCAAGCCCTTTGGGTTCTCCATGAGTCCATAGAGATAAGGAACACAGAGATAAGGCTCTCACTCTGAGTTGCTGGTAGAACTGATACCACAGAGCAAGTCTTCATGAAAGCCACAAAAGGAGGGCTCTCAGAGAAGCAGGGCAGCCCACACTCACCTTCCAGAGAATGGATTCCCTGTTCCTTGGCAGTCTTGTAAATACTGCTGAAATCATCTCCAAGGTTTGGATCAGCCCCGGCGGCAAGCAGGACCTGTATCACACTAGAAGAAATCACAAAGACAGAAGTGTCAAAAGCAGGAAAGGCCCAAGAGGTAAAGACCCAGATCTGGAAGCATGTTTGGGGACTGGTACTGTCTCTGCTCATGGGAGTGATACAGTAGAAAAAAACACGAACTCTGGGAGGGTAAAAGGTAAGCATAGGAAAGACAGGGATAGGAAATCTTGGCCAGGTACAGTGACTAATGACTGTAATCCCAGCACTTTGGGAGGCCAAGATGGGAGGATTACTTGAGCCCAGGAGTTCAAGTCCAGTCTGGGCAACACAGTGAACTTCAGTAACAACAACAACAAAACAGCAGCCTCTGAAACTTATCAGCTGAGAAGCTTGGGACAACTTATGTAACCCCTTTCTAAGGCCCAGTTTCCACAACTCTAAAATACAAACTCTTGGCCAGGCATAATGGCTCATGCCTGTAATTCCAGTACTTTGGGAGGGCAAGGCGGGCAGATCATGAGTCAAGAGATCGAGACCATCCTGGCCAACATGGTGAAACCTCGTTTCTACCAAAAATATAAAAGTTAGTTGGGCATGGTGGCGCACAACTGTAGTCCCAGCTACTTGGGAGGCTGAGGCAGAAGAATCACTTAACCCCGGAGTCAGAGGCTGCAGTGGGCCAAGACTGCACCACTGCACTCCAGCCTAGTGACAGAGCAAGATTCCGTATAAAATAAAATACACAGTTTATCCAACAATTACTGATCAAATGCCTACCATATTCTAGTCCCTGTCCTAGGTGCTCAGGTCTGCGACCTCAGAAACAATAGTTAAATATCAAGTTACAGCAAAGTGTGATGCAGGTTACCAGAGAAGAAACATGCAGTAGAAGAAAGGAGATCAAGAAAGCCCTTCCAGCATCAGCAAGATGGCTGAGCAGGACTCTCCAGCATTTGTTCCCCAACAGAAACATCAATTTGAACAATTATCCATATGCAAAAATACCTTCACAAGAGCTAAGTAAACCAAATGGGAGATTAAAGCACCTGGGCATAGCACAGAGGTAAGAAAAGACTACCTACAGAGGGTAGGAAGCACAATTTCCCCTTACCCATATTGCCTCTCCCCAACTTTAGGCAGTACACATGGGGGAAGGAGAGAGAAATGAGCACTGGACTTTGCCTTGGACCCTGAAACCAGGCCCACCCCAGTAAAACTCAGTGCCTGGAAGGTTCCCACACTCCAGGCTGATGCGCTCAGACTAAGTCCCTAGGCCTCCCTTAGTGCCAGGCCATACCCCACAGCCCGAGGCTCCAGATCTGTCTGGTGGACTTGGTCTCTGGACCTGCTTCCTAACCAGATTGACCTTAGCAGCCCCAGACTCTTGCCCTAGTGCAAGGCTAGCCCCAGTAGTCATGGGCTCCGAGCCCACCTTAACACCAGCCTAGCCCCTACAGACTGAGGCTTTAGGCCCACCTTGCAGATTCGATCTCCAGACCCATCCTAGAGGCAGGGTAGCCTTGGTGGCCCAAGGCTCTAGACTGCCCCCAGAACCAGATGGGACATGAATCCAGGCTTCAGGCCTGCCTTAGAACCAGGTCAGCCAGACAGCCTTAGTTATCAGGCCTATGACAGCAGGCCCAGCCTCCAGGTCCACCCAGGTTCCAGCACAGCACACAGCCAAGTTAGTCCACATAGTTCGGAGCTGTGGGCCTGCCCTAGCACAAGGTCAGTACCCCTGGCCTTAGGTACTAGGCCAGCACCTGTGGACACAGTCTCTAGGACTACTCAGTTTCACAGCAGTCCCTGTGGCTCCACATTTCAGGCCAGCTCTAACAGCCAGCAGGCCCATCTCAGTAGACCCAGTACTGAGCTGGCTCCCACAAATCCAGACACCAGGATCGCCCCCGTGGACCCAGGTCCCAGGCTAGCCCCCATGGCCCTAGTACCCAGGCCAGCCCTCACAGACCTACCCTCTGGGGCAGCACCTACATATCCAGGCTCCAGACCATCACCCACAGACGCAGGCTCCATATCTGCCCAAAACAAGGCCAGCCCAGGCTCCAGACCAGTCCCTGTGCCACAGCCTTCAGTGAACCCAAAATCTAGGCCTGCTCCAGCAGACCCAGGGTCCAGAATGGATGTGAGAGACAGCCTGGCCCTCATGGACCATCCCTGTGCACCCATGTTCCAGGTCAGTCATTGTGGACCAAGGGCCCAGGCCCAATCCCCATAAACTCAGGCTCCAGATCTGCCCCAGTACCAGACCAACCCCTGTGGACTCAGGCTCCAGGTATGTCCCAGTACCAGACCAACCCCTGTGGACTCAGGCTCCAGGTATGTCCCAGTACCAGACCAACCCCTGTGGACTCAGGCTCCAGGCACCAGGTCAATCCCAAAGACTAACCATTCTCTGCAGATTCAGGCTCAAGGCCCACTGCATCACAAGGTCAGTCCCTGTGCACTTAGGCTTCAGGCTGGCCCCTGTAGATACAGTAGGTCTAGGCCTACCCCTGTGATCGCAATCAATAGGTCCACTCCAGTGGACCCAGGTTCCAAGCTTAACCCTAAGGACCCAGGGACCAGGCCAGCCTGCCTGAGGACTCCAGAACCAAGCTCATTCATGAGCCACACAAAATGGCCTGCCCAGAATCTCTGGACAGGTTGAATGGTGAAGGGCTTTCCCAGGCAAAGCCAATCTGCAAAGACTGGAGTAAGTCCCTAGTTCTTCATATACTCAAGACACCAATGCCTGGCCACAAGAATCAAGAACAATTAGGGAAACCTGATCCCACCCAAAGAACAAAATAAAGGATCAGTAACCAAGCCTAAAGAAATGGATATTCATGACCTGCCTCACAAATAATTCAAAATAATTGTTTTAAGAAAGTTTAGCAAACATTAAGAAAACACAGAGAAACAATTTAACAAAATCAGGAAAATAATAAATATCCAAATCAAATTTAAGAGATTGAAATTATTTTTCAAGAAACATCAAAAGAAATCCTGGAGCTGAAAAATATAATCAATCAAATGAAACTGCAATACAGAGCATCAACAGCAGAACTGATCAGCATAAGACTGAATGTGAACTCAAAAATTAGTTATTTGAAAACAGGAAAGCCGATGGTCTCCAATAAGATTTAGTCCAAATAAGACTACAACAAGACATATTATAATAAAATTCTCAAAAATTAAAGACAAAGAAGGATTCTGAAAGCAGTAAGAGAAAAAAAAAAGCAAGTAGCATATAAGGGACTTCCAATAAGGCTGACAGTGGATTTCACATTACAAACCTTACAGATAGGCCAGGAGAGAATGGAACGATAGATTTAAAATGTTGAATGAAAAAAAACCTGCCAACCAAGAATAATATATTTAGCAAACCTGTTCTTCAGAAATGAAGGAAAGATAAAGACCTTCCCAAAGAAACCAAAGCTGAGGGAGTTTATCACCACCAGACTTGTCTTTTATTTCTTAGACAGGTCCAACAGTGATAAATTTATAAGAAATGCTAAAGAGAGTGCTTTATGTTGAAAGAAAAGGATGCTAATTAGCAACACAAAAATACTAAAGTATAAACTCACTGGAAGCCTGAGAAACATGGTGAAACTCCATCTCTATCAAAAACAAACACATACATTAGCCAGGCATGGTGTCACAGGCCAGTAGTCCCAGCTACTCAGGAGGCTAAGGTAGGGGGATCACTTGAGCTTGGGGGGCAGAGACTGCAGTGAGCTGAGATCACATCACTGCACTCCAGCCTAGGTGACAGAGTAAGACCCTATCTCAAAACAAACCAACCAACCCAAAAACCTTACTGGCAATGGTAAACACATAGTCAAATTCAGAATACTATGATATTGTAAATGGTGGTAAGTATATCACTTTTATCTTTAGTATTAAGGCAAAACTGCTAAAAATAATAACAGCTACAATAATTTGTTAAGGGATATATAATACAAAAATATGTAAACTGTGACACTAAAAAGAAAGAATATGTTTGTGGCAGGTGTGGAATAAAAGTGTAAAGTAACCACAAAGCAACCTAAAGTAGATACGTAAAAGATAAAAGGTAAGGAGGGCCGGGAGCGGTGGCTCAAGCCTGTAATCCCAGCACTTTGGGAGGCCGAGGTGGGTGGATCACGAGCTCAAGAGATCGAGACCATCCTGGTCAACATGGTGAAACCCCGTCTCTACTAATAATACAAAAAATTAGCTGGGCATGGTGGCGCGTGCCTGTAATCCCAGCTACTCGGGAGGCTGAGGCAGGAGAATTGGCTGAACCCAGGAGGCGGAGGTTGCAGTGAGCTGAGATCGCGCCATTGCACTCCAGCCTGGGTAACAAGAGCGAAACTCCGTCTCATATATAAAAAAAAAAAAAGATAAAAAGTAAGGAATATAAGTATACTACTAAAGAAAATCACCTCATCACAAAGGAAGACAGCAAGAGAGGAAGAGAGGAACAATGGATCTACAAAATAAGCAGAAAACAACAAAATGTCAGAAGTCAGTCCTCACCTATCAATAATTACCTTGAATGTAAATGGTTCAAAAAAGAGTAAGACCCAACTATATGTTACCTACAAGAGACTCACCTTACCTATAATGACACACATAGACTATATATGGAAGAATGGAAAAAGATATGGTATGCAAATGGCAACCAAAAGAGAGCAGAAGTACCAATATTCATATGGAATAAAATAGACTTTAAGTCAAAACTGTAAAAAGGGACAAAGAAGGTCATTATACAATAATAAAGGGTCAATTAATCAAGAGAATACAACTATTGTAAATATATATGCACCTAACATCACAGCACCTAAATATGTAAGGCAACTATTAATTGATGGGAAGAGAAAGATAGACTGTAATACAGAAATAGTAGGGGACTTCAATATCCTACGTTCAGCAATGGACAGACCAACCAGAAAGAAAATCAATCAGGAAATGTCTGACTTAAACTACACTTTAGACTAAATGAATGTAACAGACCTATACAGAACATTCCATCAAACAGCAGTACAACACACATTCTTCTCA